GATCATGTGTCCGTGAGTGACAACCCCCCCCACCCCCACCCCCAAAGTATTTGGTGAGAGGTGGGGTAGACCCTAGACAAGTCAAAAATATCGGTATCCATACAACCTTGAGGTAGGTTCGGGTGAAATAAAAGTACCAAATAAATATTGACACAAATTACATTTCTTGGTTTAAATCGCTAATTGTCCTTCCGTTCCGAATGCCTTCTTGTCATCATCCAAGGACCAGGAAGTGGCTGTATTATGATTATTTTTTTCCCACTCTTGCATGGGGCCATGCCGTAGTCACTGAGTGCTATTCAAGTTTTCGCTTTCAAACTAATAACTACGGAGGAGGTCATATGAGTACAGTTCAGTTCAGCCGTCGAGCTTTTGCTTTCAGATGGTGAGACACATTGTGTTTAGTCGATGCTAAACTCTCTCTGCAAAGCCTTAAATGCGTGTTCTGTCTCTCCTTCATCCCTCCATATGTGGCTCTGTCACAAAGGTTTGTGAAGGGAAATGAGGGGATTTTTGGAGTAAAAGCTGAATAGCTGCAGGGGGAAAATTGCCTGAGCGTTTATGGCCACGCCCTCCATTTGTCACATTAGCGAATATTGCTACAGGGACGTTCCACATCAGCGTTCTTGATTATAAAACACAAAGCTCTAAGTGTAAATATTTAAAGTTCATTTACATCATGTTCACAGCAAATGAATGTGATGGGAAATTTTGCAGCTGTTTGGGGGGAAAAAACACACGTAACCAATAGCAACAAGCTAAAACGCATGCAGCAACGTATGTTTTTTTTTTTTTTTTTTCGGGGCTCCAGACCATTTGGTTGCGATTACATCGGGACTGTTTGGATGATGCATGCTTTAGCACACTTGGCAGTGTGGAGACAAATCCCGATGGACCCCATGTGGTTTCGCCCACCCCCCCCCCCTCTCCTGCTTTATCACAAATCTTTCTCTGGCAACATAGCAAAAAAAAAAAAACTCCAGCCATTATCTTTAGTGGGGCTCTGAGGCTAAAAATAGCACAGAACTCTTCATCAAAGAGTGGTGTAACATTTAATCCAAGCAGAGACCATGGTGTTTGTCCCCCATCCTCCTTCACGTTCAAGTAATCTCATTAAAAAAAAGTTTTTCATTCGGAATGGAATTGGAATTAAGTTTGTGCGAGATGTGACAGGATACGGGCGCTCGGAAATGTCTCTCCCTGCGTCGTTATCAATCTGAGCATCCCTTTGCTCTGACTTGGTTTAATTGGTAGCCGTCGTGTACGATAGTTGATAGGCGTCAAGCTGTCGTGATAAGACTTCCACAGAGCAGTCTCTTCTCTGTAGGACCAGACTATATGGAGATATTGTGACTCTCCAGATGGCACAAAGCTGGACGGCGGGGTGATAAATCTTTGATTGGCTGCTGTGTGTGAATCCCTCAGCTCAGCCTCAGCTCCATTTCCCAGCCTTCAGCCGCGCGGACTGAAGGCTCTGCAGGAAAGAAATGAGAGCTGGGGGGATAATTAAGGAACTAGGAACTGGCTGCCTGACGATTGTTAGCAATGAAGCTGAGGAAAGATGCTTTGACTGCGTGCGGAAATTAGGGAAAACCAAGCAAAGTTTGAAAAGTTAAAAAAAAAACAAACGCATTTATGGATTTACTTCGATGTCTGGTATTCTTGACTGGCATATTTTACATGCCAATGTTTTTTTATTTGTGTCCAATGTTCATGTGTGTCCAATGTTCATTTCGAAAGAAAACGAATGACCCAATTATCACTGTTTAAATACAACCTCACATCTCCACTTCAGGACAGATTTGATAATATGACTCGTATCTTCTGCACGCACTGTTAAACGTGAGTATTTCATCAACCCAAGATAACGTAGAGAATTAAAATGAGGGAACTACTTTGAATACAGAGGAATAATTTATATTTGCGTTACAGATATTATGTCACCTAACATGTAAACGCTTAATAAATTTGAATTTATCAACGATGCAGAATCATTGATAGCGCAATAGAACAGCATGGCTGTTAGGTGTGCTGGATTCAATTACATATTTATTTTTCGTGACTGTGAGAAAAAAAACTGTAATTTATGTACAGTCAAACTTCGGTTTTCGAACGTCTCTTTTCTCGACCAAATCGGTTTTCGACCAAAAATTTCGAGTTTTTTATGCCTCGGATGATGACCGAATTTCGGTTCTCGAACAAACCGAGCGCACTTGAATGTGCCACTTGATTCCTCTCGCCTTCCTTACACGAGGAAGTGATGCTTCCTCGGGTAGACGAGGAAGTGACGCTTCCTCATGTAGCGTTCCATTGTGAACAGACGTGTTCAATAAAGAATTTTTTTTTAAAAAGAGCGTGGTTTCGATTTTCGAACAAATCGCTTTTCGAACAGCCTTCTGGAACGGATTATGGTCAAAAACCGAGGTATGACTGTATAAGCAGTATATAATGCTACACATATATAAATGTGTACATTTGCACACTGAGCATAAATTCATCCAGTATAAATATATATTAGTACATTTACAACTAAATAAGGCACATTCGTCAATTGATATGAATGACGTCATATCACATCATCTCCATGGCAGACTTCAGTGGCGCAGCTCCGTTCGACTCGGGGATTTAACAGCATGTCGACATTGTTCGCGAGGCTCACATCCTCTTGTTAAACGTCATTTGTATAAGCTTCCAGACTTCCTCATCCATTGACACCCATCTGCATAATCCATAATATGGGAGGGATTTATGGGTAAGAACAGGGTTTTAAGGACGGTATTATTTTCTTTGCGCGAATATTGTGCTTCTTGGGCTGTGTCATGTGACATCAGAGCCCTGCGTCGCTACAGCTGGCAGAATGTAGTGGGCGGCGCAGCATGGCAGGTGACGCCTGGCACCCTTCAGCACATGCTGCGATGATTTGAGATTCTGCTGGAAACTGGAGGGAAAAATACGCGCTAATTTGTCACTACTGTCACTGCGGTTTCTTCAGTCCCCCCACGTCGCCCTTCGTCTAACCTCTTCTCGCACCTCAGAGACAAGAAAAGCCAACAGTGCCCACTTATGAGAACCAATAAGTCACTGATTTTCATAAAAGTGGGCAACAAATTGCACACAGGGACGGATTAGCAACAAAGTAAGACCGATCAGTGGACTTGATCAATCACGACACCCTTACGACACATGTGCACCTCCAGCACGGATCACAAGCCTGTACTAGAGCAGCACACACAACTCGTGATGATATTCTTAAATATTTATTAGCAATTAAAGACAATGTAGGACTGAAGCCTCCTGGGGAATGAGGGAAAAATCAAGAGACTCAAGTGATAGCAAATCAGTGGCCTCCAAAAAGATAATTGGGCTTTTCACAAGGAACGGCGTCGGAAGCACTCACTGCTGCTTCCTGAGCCAGGAAGGCAATTGATGATTTTAAACAAAAGGAGAAAATTGTCACTGTGTAATTTTAAGTCCATTTTATGACAATTAGCATTTTTTTTTTATGAAGTGAACATCTGTATTACAGTATCTTCAAAGAATTGCTAAAACTGCACTGAGTGTCTAAGAAGTGTACGGGTAACTCACCGCTTTGGTGCACTGCACATCCTTTCCAAGTAGCCAGTTGAGCTCCAGGTGTCCCTCGCCTTGGTAGCAGGACTGCAGGCGCTCTTTGATGCGCGTGTTGATGTCACGGATAGTGAAGGCGCAGAGCGCAGAGTCATCGGGTGGACGGTGAAATTGCTTCTGGCCTTTGGAGAAGACAGCGAAGAGCACATCGTCTTGAGCGGCGATGTGAAGCGACGCCGCCAGCACGCTTCCCGGCTTGCCGAGGTAGGCGGCCTGCAAGAGCCGGTACTCCACACCGTTTTTCACGCAGCCGATGGGGAGGGAGACGTATGAGTGAAACTTGCGGTCGTCCTTGCAGAGGCGAACGATGCGAGAAGTGTAGAAGAGGTCGCTGGCGGAGCCGCTTGACGACATGCCGTTTTCTGGCGTCTCCGGCTGAACGGTCAAAAAGTACACGAAGCTGCCGCTCGCGAACCCGTAAACGTAGTAGATGTCAAAGTGGGACACCAGAGCTAGCGTGTCCGACGGTATCTTGATTAACGAGGACACAAAGTCGGTATGCAATTCGTAGTCAAGCATTGCGGACGATTCTGGGTCGCGTGGAAGCTTTCGGCTCGATATGGTCGGGAAGTAGTCCTGTTTTCCATCAACCGCGGTGCCGATAAACAGTGTGCCATCCTGGCCTTGTGAGGGCACGATGACCCCATACATGGTCCCAGTCTGATTGACACTGGAGAGGTAGTGCTCTTTCTTGTGAGAGGGCTCTACTAAGATAAAAAGGTCATCCAGTCGGAGGAGTTTGCAGACGCCCTGGTAGAGGCTGCCGCACGCCAGCAGACGGTTCTGCGAGTAGTCGATGAGGAGAAGCTTGTTGACGTTGTTGGTTGAGACCAGAGGCTCCGAGCAGGGCTGCACAATCAAGGGCGGGTAACAGGCCTTGTTGTCGTCCTCTGGGCCCGTGTCATGGGACACCAGCAGGGTCAGGTTGCCCGAGAGCTTGTACACACGGTTCACAGCGCCAATGTACACGGCCCCTGTGGTTCGGTGAACAGTCAGGTGGTTGAAGAACCATTCCCGCCGCTCCGGGTGGAAGCTAGTGAATGTCTGCCCGCTGCACTGAGCAAGGCACGCTAGTAGCCAGAAGGCTAGCAAAGGAGCTAATAATCCCATTCTGGCCTCAGGCGATGAAGTCCTGTGCAAAGCCTTCATGTTTGCCAGTTTTTTGGGTCTTTTTTTTTTTTTTTTTTTTAGGAAAGGGGGGAA